AAATATTTACCATGATCCCTAATACCCACCGAGAGTCCAATTGGGTGGGTGGAACCATTCAATTTTCCTTTAAACGGCCAATTTACCGGTTTAATTACAACTTGCATTGATTTCATTAACTCAAGCCTACCATGAATATTTATGACAACATATAATGATCATATGCAGTTCCAAACAACATTTTATGACCCCCAAAATGTATCCTCTAATTCTTAAGGCTTTTCGACACCGGGCTCGGCCCTAAACATCCATAATTACTCAAAAAGCATGGATATTAGCCTTCAATTTTGGAATTTTTTGACTTTTTTTTCGCCCGGAAATAAAAAATTTCCAAAATGTTTACCATGGTCCCTAATACCCTTCGGGCGTACAATTGGCTCGGTGGAACTATCTAATTTGCATTTAAACGACCAATTTATCGGTTTACAACTTGCACTTATTTCATTAATGCAAGCCTACCACGAACCTTTATGACAACATATAATGGTCATATATGGTTCCAAACTTCATTATATGACCTCGATATGTATTACCTACAATTTCAATACTTTTCGACACCGGGCTCCGAAACCTCCAAAATTTCGCAAAATGCGTGGATGGATATTGGACCTCAATTTTGGAATTTTTTAACTTTTTTTCGCCCGAAAATAAAAGTTGCCGAAATGTTTACCATGGTCACTAATACGCTCCTAGAGTCCAATTGGGTGGGTGGAACCATCCAATTTGCCTTTAACGGCCAATTTACCGATTTACAACTTGCACCAATTTCATCAACTCAAGCCTACCACAAACATTTATGACAACATATAATGATCATATATGTTTCCAAACGGCATTATATGAACCCGAGATGTAATACCTAAAATCTCAAGGTTTTTCGACACCGTACCCAACCTCAAAAATTTCTCAAAAAGCGTGGATATTAGCCTTCAATTTTGGAATTTTTTTTGCTTTTCTTTGCCCGCAAAATAAAAATTGCCGAAATGTTTACCATGGTCCCTATTAACCTCTGGGAGTCCAATTGGGTGGGTGGAACCATCCTATTTGCATTTAAACGTCCAATTTACCGGTTTACAACTTGCACTATTTCATTAATTCAAGCCTACCACGAACATTTATGACAACATATAATAGTCATTTATGGTTTCAAACGTCATTTTATGACCTCGAGATGTATCAAATAAAATCTCATTTCTTTTCGACACCTGGCCCCAAAACCTTTGAAATTTCTCAAAAACCGTAGATATTAGCCTTTAATTTAAGAATTTTTTTGACCTTTTTTTGCCCGGAAATAAAAGTTGCCTAAATGTTTACCATGTCCCTAATACCCTCCGGGAATCCAATTGGGTTGGTGGAACCATCCAATTTGCCTTAAAACAGCCAATTTAATTACCGGTTTACAACTTGCAAGGATTTCATTAACTCAAGCCTACTACGAACATTTATGACAACATATAATGATCATATATGGTTCCAAACGACATTATATGACCCCGAGATATATCCTATAAAATATTAATACTTTTCTACACCTGGCCCCGAAACCTCCAAAATTTCTCAAAAAGCGTGTATATTAGCCTTCAATTTTCAATTTTTTTGATTTTTTTTCGCCGAAAAATAAAAATTGCCGAAATGTTTACCATGGTCCCCAATACCCTCCGAGAGTCCAATTAGGTGGGTGGAACCATCCAATTTGCCTTTAAACGACCAATTTACCGGTATACAACTTGTACCAATTTCATTAATTCAAGCCTACCACGAACATTTATGACAACAAATAATGATCATATATGGTTTCATACGACAATATATGACCCCGAGATGTATTCCCTAGAATTTCAAGACTTTTCGACACCGGGCCCCAAAAGCTCAAAAATTTCTAAAAAGTGTGGATATTCGCCTTTGAATTTTGGATTTTTTTCACTTTTTTCACCCGAAAATAAAAATTGCCGAAATGTTTACCATGGTCCCTAATACCCTCCGGGAGTCCAGTTGGGTGTGTGGAACCATTCAATTTGCTTTTAAACGGCCAATTTACCGGTTTACAACTTGCAACGATTTACCAGTTTACAACGGCCAATTTAATTAACTTGCACCGAACCCGACTTGAAATGAAATTGACTCAAACCCGTTTAATCTTTCAAAACCCGAATTTAACCCGACTTGTTACTAACCTGACCTGAATTCAACCCGACCCGTATTTAACCCAACCTGTTACACAATCGACCCGAAATCAACCCGACTTGTTATTGACCTGACCCAAATTCAACCCGACTTGTTATTGACCCGACCCAAAATTTACCATACTTATTACTTACCCAACCAAAAAATTAAATTCAACCCAATCTGTTACTAACCCGACTCAAAATTAACACGACTTGTTATTGACTTGACCTAAATTCAACCCAAATTGTTCCTGACCCGATTTCAAATCACCTTAAATGCAATTTAGACCACCTTATTATTAAGAAAGGAGCATCATCCTCAAATTTAAGAGTTAAATATAGTATATATTTGTTGTATGGTCAAAGTAGATAATTATCTTCCTAAATTATAAACTATAATTCCCTAATATATTGCCATATATATTATAGTCAAAGGAAATAATTAGCTTGATAAAAATGATAATTATCTATTTATAATTAGTTGAACCCGAATATGACCTGACTTGGAAATGACCCGACCTGATTGTAACCTGCAAATATTGACTTGAAAATAACCTAACTTGAATCCGAGAATGACCCGACTTGGAAATGACCCAACCTGATTATAACCCGCAAATTATTGACTTGAACCCGAGAATGACCCGACTTGAAAATGACCCGACCTGATTATAGTCCGCAAATTATTGACTTGAACCAAACCTGACTCAAACCCGAGAATGACCCGACCTGATTCTAACACGCAAATTATTGACTTGAACCGAACCCGACTCAATCCCGACAATTATCCTAACCCGTTTTAACCCGAATTAAACCCGACCCAAATCCGATATGAAGTATGACCAGACATTACCCGACTCAAGCATGACCCAATCCAAACCCGACACATATAGGTTATGGAATTAATCTGAATTGACCTGACCAGAGTTGACCCGACCCAAACCCGACCCGTTTAGCGAATTGACATCTCTATAATATTAAAATGTATGCATAATAACGCATAGATAATCTTGTACTAAAAACTGTTAAAGAAAAGTGAAGATTATTACAAGAGACTATAAAGAATTAAGAAGGATAATACCAGTAGAAATGGGCAAGCAAGCCAAGTCCTTCAGATCAACCCCACGCGCCACCACCGTCCGATTAAACTCCTTACTCCCGAACGGTGTTAACGTCGCCGTATTCATGTCTTCAATAGTCATAGTCGGGTAGCCAGACCTTTCACCAACATCAACAAACTCAACCCGACCCAAACCCAAGTCAACAATCATCACGTGTGTCCCTCCATCCACTCGTGCTATAACAGAAGCCTTTCTAGGAGGAAGAGAATCCCCTTCCTTCCATCTCATGACAAGTGGCTTCGGCGGCTCCTCTAAGACAACTGAGTGAAGTGCGTAGCTCTTAGCTGCCTTAAAGAGCGCATGTGAGATGACAATGGATCGGACACGGTTCATCTCCTGGACCGTAAGTGGGTCCAGGGGATGTCGTGCCATGTCCGACACATGGACATGGCGAGTGAGCTTACGTGGTGGCGGCTGAAGCTCTAGTTCAGCAGCCGCCTTGTTAACATAATGGAAATTCTTAGACGAAGGAAGGTCGGAATTTCTAACAAATATGAAAATAAAAAGAATGAAAGTTACAAGTAGAAGTGAAAGCAAACGTAGGAACTTTTTTCCTTCCATTGTTTTTAGGTGATATTTGAGTAGGAAGAGTGAGTGAAGTGGGTGAAAAGAGTGATATATAAGAGTAATAATACTAGTAAGGAAGGACACATGTTTAAGCAAGAATCTAAGGTTGTTTTTATTGTTGCCGTAGTATAATAGGATACCACTAAGATTCAAAATAACGACATTATAAAAATACAAAAAAATAAATGAAAAATAAAATGAAAATATAATCCATTGTTCGTATTCTATGATTGAAGATAAAGAAGGGAGGAAATATTTGGATTCCAAAAGATTCCTTTGTTGTGATGTGGGACGTCAGAAGTGTTAATCCAATAGATGGATTACTCGTTTAATGAAATAAATCATAGGTTATAACATAATTATCAAAGAAACAGAAGTAACACAAACCAAATTTAATACTGAAGTAGATAAGTTACCTTCATTACGTATTATGCTATTACTAATTTACACCTTTGACATATTATTCTATTACTAATGTACACCTTTGAAATGATCATACTCGTATTATATACTTCGTATCACACATTAGATATTAATACGAAGTACTCCATAATATTAATGATGATCTAGTTTGATCCCAATACAGTATTTTGTAATTGTTGAAAGTAAGAAGATGAGTATTTTTTGTGCTGTTTTAGTAACCACAATAAAAATATGTCTCATTTTCTTCCAATTGGCAGCCCTACATAGAATTTCGTGGCCAAACGTAGTATACAAAATACAAAAAACATTGGATTTCTCACTTCGTTTACGCCAAGAAATTTAAAACTAGATATTAATTTTAAAAATTTAAGACATAGAATCATTACATCATTTACATGAGAGTGGCTGGTTGCAGATTTTCATTAAAATTTGGCAAGTGCACATTAGTTTTATCCAAAAATTAATACAAGTGAAAAATAAAAAACGCACAGGAATTTAGGAGGAAAGAAAGGACCATGTAAATTAAAAGTTTTTGTTTCCTTGTGTGAAGCTTTTTAAAAAATAGGGTAAGAAGAAAGAATATGCCAAAGAACCTGAAATTAATAATTACTCCGTACTCAATAACTATGTCGAAATAAAAGAGAGATAAAACTTATTATATATTTTAAGCAATGCATAATTTTTTTATTCATTTTTTGAAGATCTCCATATAAGAAAAATAAACAAATAAAAGATATAAAAAAAATATATATATATTCCCTTAGGTAGACCTATCTCTTGTGGTATACCTAGTTGCGTAACAAAGTTCCTCGTAAAAAGGTGGTGTCTCATTCCACGGACAAAACACAAATATATGAAAAAAGCTTAAAAGAGGTTGACAGATTCACCACACAGCTGCTTCAGCTCGACCTCTAAAATTCCCAGCAAACTTGCTTTATTTCGACGATAAATCCAGGCTTGAGTGCTGGGATCCCAGTCAAATCTTGAAGGACCACTGAAACATAATATTCAAAAGGTCTGTTTAGGGAAGATTAAAAAGCTTGGGTGTTTTAAGAAGTTAGAACAAACAGTTGGAAGAAAAAGGAAATTTATGCACATAGATATGTGTGGATGCTAGACTCCGAATAAAAAAAAAATTAACTAAGCTAATTTCACCAAAAAAAAATCCTACTCAGTATCTGTTAGTTGTAAACTTTTAGTGAGGATATTGTGGAAAATCCAATTATGTTCTACTAGCATTTTTGGAAATGGGGCAACATTTTCAGGACATTGCTGCATGGTTTTTGTGAATTTTATTTCATGCAGTGGGAGTGACATTAATAACAGTTAAAACACATGATGCAGAAAGTATGGGACTAATCAAATAGTGTAAGAGAGGATATCATCATTCTCCCGCAACACAAACAAGTGCAGAGAATATTGGAAGTATGGGGAACTGCTTTCACATGGCACAGTGTGCTCAGCGTGAAGTATAACTTCTATGGACATAAGCATCACTCATCAAACTACAAAATACAAATACTACCTCCAGATCATATTATATGCAACTTTGGATTTTTTTTATATCTCACAAATAATACCCCAAAGTTGCATATAATACGATCCGGAGGTAGTACATAACTATGGAGATATGTGAGCAGAAAGCTGCTTGCAATGCCTAGCATTGAGAAATGAAGACAAAGATACATTTATGTGGATAGAATAACAAAATAGCCTCTAATTACTTTAAGAATTGAGAACTATATAGGACATTTAATGCCTAATCTGCCCAAACCCATGATAATAATAATCAGAAAACTATTGAAGCTATTAGTCTATACTCAAATATTCATGTATATTATTCGGTTAAATGTATTAGAGCCCATACAGAACATTAATGACTGATAAGATGAGAGAACTTACAGATGCTGCAGGAATTTCCTAAACAGATAACCTTTACCAATTCCTTTTGTAGTGGGAAGGGGATTTAAAAATTCAATTGTTTGGGGTATTCTTTCCTGTCTGATTTGCATCTCCCTCCCCTTCCACCTCCCAAAACAATCCTTATCACAGGAATCAGTGAGAATGCTCATTAATGATTCGATATGGTTCTGATGGTCATTCTTTCAATTGTTGCTGCATTATCACAATCATTTTCGTGTAACATTATCCTCATACACCAACTTTATCAGTTGAGAGACTATACAGGCATGATTGGGTCCATCTCAAGGGCAACTGACAAGCTTTGAAGGGCAATCATTCTGGGTAGTAATTTTCTAAGGAAATAAGATGGCATCTAAATAGGCTGGCAGAGGCTTTGGAAAAAAAAAAACAAAAAAAACAAAAAAACTCATAGGGGGTATTCAAAGAAAATGGGCTGATCTTTATTTGTGTCAAAAGTCATAACGTGTCAACTAAAATAAAAGAGGAAGCACATATAACCTATCCATCTCGAATAGATGGGTCTAGAAGGTGAATTTGGACAGGTATTGTTAAAAGTGTTGACAATAAAACTAAGAGGGTTGCAGACAACTAAACGTAAATTGTTGAAGGTGAATCATAAACTGTAGTAAGAGCCTATCTTGTTTAAACAGTTCAAGTAAAAAATCACCTACTGAGCCATGTGATGCAAAACCCAGAGACAGAAGTACCAAAAAAAAAAAAAAAAAAAAGACAAACTACCATGGAAAAAGGGCAATAGTTTAAATCAGACTTTCACAAACGAACAACACTTAATCTCAATTAGTCAATTGTACTTGGGTATAGACTATGAAACTACTCCCACTATTTCAAAATTTAATTATCCATTCTTTTAGTTTCAATTTAAATCGTAATTATTATGTCAATTAAAAGCCACTTTATAATACCAGCACAATATTTAATGTCAGCTAATTATACCAGTGTAACATTAATTTAGTAGTATTCAAGATATGCGTGCAGCTGTTATCATACCTAGTAATACAAAAGAGGGAGTAAATGTAAGCAAGAATACTATTTTCTTAATTACCTGACTGGAGAAGACAACCAGATCTGTCTGTTCGGCGTCTGTTTATTCACCACGTAAGTGCCCAGATCCCCTAGTTTCATGGTGAGAACTTCATTCTGCAATTAAAATTTCTTTTAACATAACACTCCATATGGGATTTGTAGGCATGCTAGGGTGCAATACAAAATTTATAGGAGCAAAACAATTCTTACCCCATAATCTACATCAAACCCATCAACATCAACACTATCACCATATTCCTGCCAAGCATGAAAGCCATGTCAATAATCAAATATACCTAGATAAACCAAAGACTTGAATATATAATCTAAAAACCAATCAATGCAAACCCAAACACATAAGCATCACAGGGTGCACACACAACACAGGCCCTGGCATACTTTTTTGAATAAACCAAAGCTTACAGGAAAACATATATTTCATATAAGACCAAGTAGCAGTAAGTGCAAGAACAGGGGACAAATTGTACTTGCAGCAGCAGAAAACAGATTATATACCAGCCCAGTTCCATGAATTTCCCTGACTGAGAAACTCTCAAATCCTTCTGCTGTCTCAGCCCACAGAAAATCTAGATAAATATCCTATCCTACAGCCAAACACTTATAGCAGTTCCCCAGAAAATTCACACATTCTGTTCTAACCACTAACATCACAAAATATCCACAAAAGCATTTTGTCACAATATATTTCTTCTCCTTTGCCCTTCCAAATCCCACAAAGAATACTTGAAACAGATAAGTCTGTGAGATACCTGGTACTCCCCAAGCAAAGCAAAAAGCCTCTACCAAACATTACTAACCATCTCACAATGTAGGAATATGTGTGAGCACATCTCAATCTTGGTACAACACAGCATGCACATATCCAGCGAAATAGCCATCCTGTGGTCATTTTCTTTAGAGCATTTAATTCTCCCCAGCACAAAAGTCCACACAAATGCTCTTGCCTTCAAAGAAACTTTTAAATTCAAATAAATCTATGGACCAGGAATAAGCAGACCAGAAGATTTGCAAGAAAAGGTGCCCATTGTATCCCATATCAGTATATCACTTTCTATTTCCTCTGGCTTTGACAGTTGTGTGACACACTGACACCCTCAAAAAGAAAAGTGAGCTAATCTAATTCTCTATCGCAAGGATGCCTTTGTAAACAAAAATTCCAAACATTAATAGCACAAAGAAGATGGGTGTTCCCTTCTCCAAACATCCTCCCAAGAAGATCATGAAATAAAAAATAAAAACAAAAAGGGAAATAATAAGGTCTTATTCACAAGTGTAGACAGGAGAAACAGTTAGACAACAAAGACAATGTCAGGAGAATTTACAGTCAACAGAGAAAATCATACATTTACAGAAAATATGATCAATTACACCAACTACAATTCATCCTTTCTGTAGAATAACGCACAGAAACCTGAATCTGTCATGGAGAGTAACTGATAGAAAATATTGAAAAAGGTATACCCATGGGTCTCTCCCCACCTCCCCTTATGTTTGGCTAAACAAGGGTAGTATTGTGTCTTGGGTGCTAAAAATTTCCAAGTATGAGGGAGGGCCAAGGCACATGCTATGACTCAAGGGAGGTCTCCTAAGCAAATCAAAGTTTATGAGAGGAGGCGCAAATCAGACAAAGGGCAGGTACTCCATGAGCTGTCACAAGAAGACAAACAAGAAGATTTTCCACGGAATGTTGAGGCAACAGGGCGGCAATTACCTGGAGGAGAAGAAGACAAAACTTGTAATGATTAGGTCACTGATTTAGGAGAGAATGCTGAGTATATAAAGCAGAGGAATGTAAGAGAGTAGGGCATGTTGAATGAAGTATTTTGTAGCCGTAAAATAGCAGTAGAGTAGCCTCCAAGGTAGAACCTTTCTCCATTGTAGTTTCAGCTTTTAATCAATCAAAGATTCCAGCTTTACTCTCTTATTACCCTTGTTTATCTGTTAGCTTAGTGTTGAACTTGGCAGTCTATAGCAGCACAATGCCTAAATGTGGCCATGTAGGATGCTGATGCGGCTGCCGCTGCCAATGAGCATGCCCACGCCCTTGCGGTGCTGATGCTGATGCTGCTGCTGCTACTGCTGCCCAGCCAAGGCATAGGCACTGCTGTGCTGCCCAAGCCAAGGTACGCCTAGGCATGAGGGTAAGGCGCTGCTGTCCAAGTGATTGCACACCCATGTCCTAGGTATGGGGCATGGGGATGAGGAAAAATAAACTCATCCCTAAGAAACACCTATTATGGCAAGTGGCCAAAGCAAGGCAATGCAAGGCTTAGTTAAGGTAAGGCAACATAAGCCAAGGCAACGCAAGACCAAGCCGATGTAAGTTGGTAACAAAGCCAAGACAAAGCATCTTAAGACATAACAACGAAGGATAGGCCAAGGCATGAAAAAGATGGTTTCGGGCACCAAGTAAGCCTTTCGAGGCCCTTTGGAAACCTCAAGAAGCACCTGGTGGCATATTCTTGTTGGATCCAAAAATGTTCTCCGAAGGCCAAATACGAAGGCTATAATACATGAAATCGGATCATTTTTTTGAGATTTTGGGACTCAGTATCAAAAATTCAAGGGATGGTAGGGAATGCATCCAAAAGTCATATAAAGTTGTTTGGACCCATATACGGTCATTAGTAGATCACATAAAGGCCCATGAGGGAGGCATATATAGATAAATAGCTAAATTGATAGTTTAAAGACAAAGCAGACATTTTCAACCGCCCAAATTGCCTTGGGGGATCATTTCCGGGTCCGAAGAAGTCGAAAATTTCCTAAAACTGAAGACTAATCCACGCTTTCGAACCAAATTTGAAAATAAAATAAAATAAAATAAAAATTGAAGTGAAGTGAACATGTAGGGAGTCCCTTGTGGTCATTTTAATATTTGTCAAATGGAATTAATTTGAAAGATATGCCAACATAAAGCTCCAACTATGAAAAAAATTTGGAGGAAAATCCATTGGATCTCAACAAAATAGAGACGATGTATGCAGATATCAATTTATATGAAAATTTCACTAAACATAGAGTAGAATCATTGCTTGTGGAGAGCAACTTTCAAAAGAAAATCAACCAATTTTCTCAAGATGTAAACCATAAAACTATAACATATTTGACAGAGAGAAGGAATATCGATATTTTAGTCAAAAAAATCCCTTACACATTATATCTGAATCTCAACAGAATGGCCATTAGCTCTGCTACACTGATGATTCTAAATGTCCAGTAAAATATAGGGCCAATATAGTTAGTTAGGATACTACAACAAGATATTGTATGATAGGATATAAGGGCAAAAGACTCCACTCTAACGGTCGGGCCACATGAAGCAAAGTACGGTCAATGCTCTAATCAAGAAGTAAATGATAAGAGGGTACCACTTCTGATAAACAATAGTCTTATAAAAATTATAATCCAAATACCAGCGCACTGCAGAACCAATGGGGTCAATACACCTTTTCAGATCATGCCCAAGTTAGAAATATTTTGCTACGTATTAATATTATCGATATTCATTTTTCCATTTTAAAAGGAAGAAGTCAATCAGTGCTACCAAGTCAAAATATGTTGATACGCTTTTAAGTTTCACACTTTCACCCTATATCAAAATCACCAATGTTTATAAAAAATAAAATTAAAAAAATAAAAACTTTTTTCCTATTTCTTTCAACTTCTTTTCTTCAAATATTTCATTTTAAAAAAAAAAAATTTAAAAAACACTCACTCACACACACACTCACCAACCACTAACCACCCACCCACCCACACGCGCGCGCGCACACACACACACACATAAGAGCAGAAAATGTCACAAAAGCTGAGGAAGCAACAGTTCAATGTAAAAATAGAAAATTCACTAAATCTCTGAAGAACATAGAATTTCTAGCCACCCATACCACATAATTCTCTAAAAACCATAGCTCCAAAGAAACTCCCCATACTCCTCTGAATCAAACATACCTTGTCTTAAAGGTCCTAAACAGCAATTATTTAAGTCCATATTTTTCCACTAATCTCAAAATGTCATGCCTCAAAAGCAATAACATAATAAAAACAAATCCCTGCATGCCACCACATTTTTGTTTTACCCCAAGTCCTCAAGTGATATATCCTGTCTCAAGGTGAGCAACAATTCATTATGTGGGATTCACCCAAGACTGCTGGTCAAGCAGAAGAAATTAACTCCCTAGATGTCAGACTTCCGGATTGAAAAAAAAAAAAAGGACTGGAGGAGTTTTAATGTGGGCCATCATGATTAAGTTTTGGCAAGAGTTGCAAGTGAAGATTCGGTTAAAAAAAATCTTAATCTGAAAAATATCTCATAGTAACAATCCATAAAGCCACAATTATAACATACTCAACAAAATAAAGTAGTTCCCCAACCTCCCCTACAATTTTTTTTTTTTTAATTTACTTCAATATTCTTATAGTTTGTATAAGCTTCAAAAACCTTTTGAGTTTCAGAATGGACTCCAAGACCCAAACATTCCATATAATGCCATTAAAAATTATATCCTTCAAGTCTTTGACACTAGGATCATACCACACACACATCAATTAGGTTAGCTAAATTATACCCCTAACTCTATCTCCTTCAAGACTTCAACACTCCTTTTTCCCCTAAAGCATTTCCTCTACATTCATACATATGTTCTTTCTGTTCTCACACTCTCTTACCTCGTTCCCATTTAATTCTTCTTTCTCAATCTCCACTCTACTTTGCGTTCAATAATAAGATTTTGTCAATCACTTCAAAATTTGCATACCAATCTGAATGTACCACACCAAATTGCCAATAGCAACTCAGATTGACAAAAAGTCTCTGGCAACTAAATCATATCATGATTTTCTCCTAAAGCATCATAACTGCTAAAACAAATACGAGTACAAAGTACTACTCCGTATGTAAAAAAAATCAAAACCCATAAGGAATCATACAGTGTTGCACACAGTTACTAACAGTGCATTGCTCGTACATATAGCATAATCATACTATGTAGCGCCTAATTGAGCACTGCATACTAAAAAAGTTATTATTTTATTATTTTTACCGCTATTGCTCTTCTTACTGTAGACAATAATAAAGCAACTATGTCAACGACATAATAAAGACCGCCCCTCACATTCTATTTAGCAAAATAAAACCTACGTAACCATATTGCCATCCCTATTCAAGGGAAATTCTAACTTCTGATAAATTTCACAAGATAGTAACCTACAAGAAGTCTTCAGTAATCAAACTA